TTATGGTTTTAAAACTAACGAATTAAAATATTACTTGATTTTGATGGAGAGACCACAGAAAAGCATGTGAGCAGGGAGGACTCATTTAGTGTTTTCTATGTCCTAATTTCAACTTTGATAAATAGGAAGTCCAATACAAAACTGATTGTATATAAAATATTTTGGTAGAAGATAAATATAAAGAGGCTTCAGATATTCCCTTCCTCATACTTTGGTACCACAGAAACAAAATTTCTTTGCAATTCTACAATTTTACTGATAGGTGGCAATAGTAATAAAAGAGCACCTGTTTTTCCTACCTAATTATATCTAGTTATATCTAATAATTTTAACCATTTTCTACTGCAATCTTTCCATCATGGAAAGAACACGCTGATGACATTCAAACTAGGTTTCAGAGTAGTACCATCTTTTTATATGCTTATTTTCCAAATCTATACTTAGGTCCTTCGCAACTGACAGCACAGCCATTTGTTAAAGTGAAGAGATGGTGATATACAGACACTCAGTAATCTTACTAATCTTTAAGATAACTCATGTTCACATGGTATCACACCGCTGCTCTATTTCCTGAAATACTAGAAATGCAGGCACATTTCATGGTCTTTCTGTGACAAATTTGCATAGCTCTTTGCAACCTGGACCTGCTTCAGAAGAAAGAGAGAAGTGGCTTTTTGTTGGGGTTTTTTATTTGTTTGTTTGTTTTTCAACTGTAAGGGTGATCAAACCCTGGAAGAGGTTTCCCAGAGAGGGTGTGGCCTCTCCATCTGTGGAGACATTCAAGACCTGACTGGACACAGTTCCGAGTGACCTGCTCTGCTCAAGATTCTGCACTAGGATTGGACTAGATGATTTCAAAAGGTCAATTCCAACCTCAACCATTCACGTATATAACTAGTCTGCACAAAAATAGGCATAAAAGAATTAAGGAAAATTTGTACTTCATGTCAGAATTTTTAAGCAGCTTTGTATTAAACAAAAATGGACTATTTCTCCTCATCTCCTTCAAACTCTAAATTTCAAATGACTATGAGACTAAAGACTGCCTGTGTATGATTTAATCCTTTATTCTTCTGACAAGGTGTCCAGAGCTTTTTACTAAGCGCTGTTATGGACTTTTTCAATGAGGCTTGAAATTCCAGGTTCTGCTTGTTTTATGAAGAAAAGTTAACAAAACTTGACAATTTTCATCAGACATTTTCTTCAGTGTTTTTTAATAAATTTTTGCCCTAAGAAGATTATGTCAGTTCTGTTATCTTTAATTAAACAAACCAAGGGGCTAATTTTCAATGTTTTCTGCGAACAGCAATTGCCTCTTTCAACCAAAGGGCTTTTAAGGACCCATATTGTACTGTAGCTTTTGAGCTAAAATGCATCTATAGGCAAGTACATCTATGAAGGTTCACATACTCTCTCAAAATCTCAGGAGAGAAACATTTTTCATTTTTTTTAGAGCCTGCTTTACTCCATGATGACTTTTGTTTGCTTGTTTCTATCCCCATCTCTTGTCCAGAACTGTCTAGGTGAGCAGAATCTTTAAAAAAATATTATAAACAAAATCATAATGATAAAACGATCACCATTACCCAAAAATCTGGAAGTAAAAAGAAACATGCACATAACACATAGAAATCCCATGTTGCGCTTATCCACATGCCCATATATTCACTACTTGGAAGTAGAGATTCAAATAAAGGACCTGAAAAGAGTTCAGTCAACATGCAGTATCAAAGAATACAAGACCATAATGCTGAACTCTAACAAGGGTTAGTGTGAAATGTACTACCTTTCACATGAGCATCGGAAAAGATAATTCAGTCTTAATTTGCCTCATTTTTAATACCTAGATTACTACCTAAATTCAGATATCCTATATTGACTGGCTTCATCTTTGACACTGAAAGGAATACTCATCTTACATGAATCTCATGGAATTTCAAGACCAGGGTGATTCTACAATTTTTAGACCATGTTGAGAAGAATAAAAAAATAAAATTCCACAATCTTTTATTCTCCTTCACATTGTAATATGGTTTGAAGAAACTGTTAAGTTTGAAGAAACTTAACATTTCAATGTAAACTTGGTATAGGAGACACGGTCATAGAGAACGCTATGACAAAGCAATTTTGAGCATAAAAGTGTTTAAATCTAAAAAAACCCTGCATTCAGTACTACTGTCCCTTTCTCTCCTGCAAATAAATTGAACTCTGTGTGAACAGTAATAAATATGATGCTATTACACTTATATATTAAAGACTTATCTCCTCCTGCCACACTTTCTATAGAAATTTGCATTCATTTAAGTAAAAAAAAAAAAATCACAATCTCAATTGAAAGAGGCAGGAGGGATTTTAAAAACAAATTATGTTGTTTTTTGCCAATAAGCAAACACATTCTGACAGTGAACTGGTATTAGTAGGTACAGACGGTGAAACAGCAGCAGCAACACTCAACTTCTCTGTAGTAACAGTCTGGAGAATCATTTATTTTAGGATTTTCTGCCTATATTGAAGAGTTGAGTCTTCCCTACTTGCAATAAGCCTTAGTGTAGATTTGCATATGAAGTCTGTTATAACTGATGTTTTTCTACAAAAACAGAATAAAATAAAAAAAATTACAAAGAAAATAGAGAAGACTGCAGATTTTGTAGTAAGAGTTGGGTTTGTTCCTTTTTTTCCCCTTGTGGGCAGGTCTAACTCAGGTTTCTATTTTATAATAATGTTCTAGTTTCTTTCTGCCAGTTTTAAACTCTTGTAGTGATCTGTAATAAACAACATTCTGGCACAGTTTTATTTTCAGTCAAATCCCTCTAGGGAACAGAGTGATTTTACATGAAATGTGTATCCCATCCTGCTGCTTTCCGTAATCCACTCAGACCAAATGGGGATGAGGAATACTTACTTCACACAAATTAAAATGAGATGTTTTGGCCAAATTTGAACTTCATGTAGGTATTTGAAAATGTTACCCATAATCCTACTTTAGTCTCCCAAGTCTGGCTAATAAAAACTTCAAACTTCTCCCATTTACCACTGCTCCAGCTTCTGCCTCCAAATGCATTTTGCTTAAAACAGCATATTGTCAACCTTATAATAAAACCTAAAAATTGAACTACATTCTGGGTACTTTGTTGAAAGATTTCTGACAGAAAATGTAGGATTGACAAGTTGCATTTATGATCTCCAACTTAAAGAGGACAAGAACAATGCATACACTTGTCTGTGAAAGGCTGTAGCTGACTGAGTGATACTTTCACAGAAAACGGCTTGTACAGATCCAAAAAGGCCTTTCCTCCCCTCCCTCCCAAAAAATCTGAAAGCATGCAACCATACAAGAGGGAAGGGAAAAATTATTCAAAGCAAATTCTTAAAATTGCTTCATACTGAAAAAAAAAAGTATCCAGCACACAGTTCCTAAAATTTACAGAAATAAAAGTAAAAAACCACTGATGTGCTTCAGAATGTAAATACATCGTTCATATTTTTCATGGCATTATGTATTTACAGATATAGAAGTCTTTTACATGCTTTGGTATGAAAAAGCTTTGAAGACTCTGTCTTTATCTTAGATAGAATGTATGACACCCAAGTAATTCTGAATGTTCACTATTAAACATAATTATCGGGGAAATGGAACGAACATTTGCCTCTCTCTCTTACAATACTACCAAAAACCCCAAAGCTTGTCGACACATTATTAAAGCTGGTTATGTGCGATACCTCCTCAAAGTCAACACTAAATTGCAAACACTAGTGAGGAAAGAATAAATTTTAGGATACCTATTAACCCCACACATCTTACAGAAGATGGTACACTGCACGATGACCCTTTTACTAACTCCAAATTTCCATTCTAGAAGTAACATGCCAACCTTCTTCACTGTACAGTGAAAACTCTTAATTGCATCTTATGCAATTTGCAGATATCTCCATTGACATTAGTTTATAAATGCTGGTTTATGTTTTAACAAGATTATGAAGTCATAATTAGGATTTCCTGTTACATTATGGAAGAACTCAGTAAGTTGTGAAGAATGTATTCACACAAACTGGAGTCAGAAGGGTGCTTCCTATTGACCTATTATTATCAGTGGAGATACTCCGTGTTTCAGGAAACAGATCAGAGATTTCCCAATTATCTGGCACATTTTTGCTCTCTCAGGATTGTATTCACTGTATCTTATTGCATTTAAATTGTATTTTAAATATGAGAAAAATATGATGGTTCTGATATTGTGTGGTAGCTAACTAGTTTTCCATGAGTAAGAGAACTTGGTTTCTGTCGTAAGACTTCTCTAAAGTAATTCTTTCTTCAAAGTCAGTAATCATTGGGAACTAAAGAAAACTGTTCAAAAAAGTATCTGAACTTGAATGAGGAACATCCAACTGTTTAAAAATTAATTATTCTAATTTTAAATCTGTATGGTTTATCTCTGCTCTCTAGTTGTCTAACTTCACCTTTTAGTCTTTAGGTACTGTTACGCTCTTGGCTGATAGACCATGGAGCTTTGTTACTCAACAAATATGCTCTGACCAAATCACATCTCTGATAATCTAGACAAAATGACCACTTTGTATCATTTGTTATAGGACAGGATTTTTCAGACCTGAAGACTGGGTGGAACCTTTACACATCAGATAGTCCTTTCTTATATTTCCTTTTCCTTAACATAATATATTCTGATTTATGATGAGAATAGAATTGTGTCTACTAAAAATGCTTCACTGATAATGGTTATTTCCATGAAGCCAAACTCCATAGTTCACAGGGAGCTTGGATGGTCAATTAATAAAGGATCAAGTTCTTAGGGAGAAGAGTATTAAGTATTCTTTACACTGAGTCATTCAATTATATCTTATAGGTGCAACTGCATCTTTCCCTCCTCCTCTCTTCTTAAAAGATTATATTCCTACATTAAATTCCTGTTAATGCAAAAGACAAGGAGAGGAACTCATAAACTGCTTTAAAAAAATGAACAAAATAAGTACAACAATTTTACCTGCAACAACTGGAGATTTTCTGTCATCCAAAAGCTGAATAGCAGTACTGGCTGTCACTACATTGCTTTTGTTTGCAGTTTCTGCAGGGTGTATTAAGGAAAAAAAAAATCAAATTGAAATTATATATTGCAGAATGAGGACATTGAGCTTTTCCCCCCTTGTTTAACAGCCCATGTGGATTTAGTTCCATATATGCACAGAACATACAGGCACCATCATTTCAAAATTCCCCAGCAATCCAACAACAAGCTTAAAACATTAAACTGAGTAATCAACTTTTGCTTTCTTTGCTAAAAGTGGCAACAAAGGGATTCTCATTAATTTGGACACTTGCTCTGTTGGACTTGTCTTGCTTAGAATACTAGGCTGTAAGTTCAACCTGTGTAAATATTAAATGAAAACCATTACACCACATCTTGGGGTTTCACTTGGAGCCCTGTAAAAGATGCACCTGGTCAAAGGACCAGTAAATTAGCTGCAAATTTCAATGCATATTTTAGATTAACATTTGAGGTTAGCTACAGACCCCACTCGGTACTGACATACTTGGAACCGTTTCAGCATCACATATGGCTCAGCATTTAGAGAATGACAAAAGTATAGACCTGTGCTAAATGGGATTGAATAGACAAAGCTCCCAGGTATCTGCTCAGCAGCTCTTCTGTACCAGAGTGGAAAATGGTCAGCATTAAAAATGTTCTCCTTATCTTCAGCTGTCAGGAAATCTCTTGAGAAAGAAGAGAGAAAGAAAACACTTGTTGTTTGTTGCACAGTGCACAACAGTTTCTAACTTTGAAAGACAATTAAAACCCAAATGCAATCTTTTGGGAAATAGAATGGTTTTGGACAATTTTTCTAATACCATTTGTTCAACAAAAGAGTTAACTTTAGCCCCTAATAAATACTTGTGACACATTTGCAATTGCTTTTGTTGTGAAGAATGGAAAAAGTACTATAAAAATAGGGCCCTTAAGCACCACTAAAAACATTTGTACTGATGTGTACAAATAAAAATGCTTAGTCTAAAAAGCCTTTTTCTCTCAGCACAATGCAAGATCTGTGAACTCTACAAAGTGGAAAAGGCACTGGAGATTTGGTAGTTTGTTGCCACTGGCAGTCACTCTTAAGTAATGAAAAAAAAGTAATTTAACAGCCTACTTTCCAAATAATATGTAAGGGGTGGTAGTGGCCAACTACGTACTTTATTCTTCAGTAATCTCAGGGAACGTTGACAGAGGAAAGTTTGTGTCAGTGAAAAGAGCAAGTATGGTCTCCATGCTATTGTTCTGGCTTGCTGTTTGACATTAACAAATTACAGTGCTATTGATCTCACCTGTCAGGCTACTCACACTACAACAATATTTTGTGGTCAGATAAGCACCATATAATTTTATATTCAATAAACTTAGCTTATCATAAACATCAAGTGCAGATTTTCTTTTACATGAATAATGCATATAGATTTGCCTGACACTATCAAACTGCTGCCTGTAGTCATTAATTATGGGACCTTATTTTATAGCTCTCCATTTTAAGAAACCTGTACCTCCACTAGTTTACATCTTCTCCCAGCAAAATGGAAACTCTTGAATGATAAGATCTCCTGATTTCTCTTTCACCCAGTCCACTTCTGTCACTTGGCTTTATTTCAACACCAAAAATTTTTCCACAACAAAATCCCTGAAAAAGCCTACATGGTATTTGGTTTTAGATGAGATAGTAAAAAAAAAAAAAAAAAAAAAAAAATCATCTGCAGTCGTAGCATATTCATAATTTTGCTCTGAAGAATAAAGATGTGACGCTAACTCCAAGGGCATGGGCGGAAAGCAACTGTATGGGCTACAGGTGTAAAATAGCTCATTGTTCCAAATGTTCCAGTTGAAAAAAAGAATCTAAGGGATCCTATAAAATCTTTCTAACTTGTTTCATGTATTTCAGTGCACCAGCTTAAAACTCTGGAAGAAACAGTAGATGGGCTTCCTAAAAATAAACATTTTTTTTCTTCTTTTCTCGTACGGCTGCCAAGCATAGCTTTGTTACTTACTGATTAGTAAGCTGTTCCGGACCCACAAACAGGTTGATACGAGATAGTCCAGTCCGTGTTCCAAGGAAGGCAACTTCCACTCCCTTGTCAGAGTTTCTGAAACAGAACAGAACACAAGCAAAGATAATGTTTCCAGACAGTAAACAGATAAAGCTATATTACTGGTCACAGAAAGTACAAGTGTACATGCTTTTGAGAAAGATTATTTTAAGTATAGTTCCCTTATTTATTTATTTTTAAAATGCTGGTTTTTAAGTTAAAGTCACATGGGTTTCATAAAACATACAATGTAGAAATGCTATTTAGACCAAGAGTCACTAAAAAGTCAAAGAGTAAATTTGGTAGGATAGGTGGGGAATAAAAAGGTATGGCATAGGTGTATACCAGCTATTTAATAACCACTGGCACCCAGTGATTCAAGACGAGCAGGAATTCCAGATCTCACTCCTAAGTCCATTCATCACTTCTGCAGTACATCTATGCTTCAAGTCATAGGTGTGACTGTTGCTCAAGCAAGCAAAAACTAAGCTAGATTTAAACCAGCTAGTTCAGTGTCAAATGTAGCTGTCATCAGGACAGGTTTTAGCCTCTAGATCTTAGGAAAAAAAAAAAAGTGGCAGGTAGCTCAGGCTGAACTCTGTTGCTGCATTGTTACCAGTACCAAGCCAGCTACTTTAAAACTAGTTCTCATGTGGCTTACAAGAGCTTCAGCCATATTACCACAAAACCAGGGACCACAGTCTTAGCCATCTTTCTGTCTCATACTTCATTCCTCAATCAATGATAGTCTCATTAGTGTAAGCCGGAACATGAAAGGGGATCAAAAGTCTCCTGCTAGCATCTCTCTGCAGCTGTCTTCCTTGTGTTTACCTGGGTCTGTAGGAGGAGTCCAAGAAACCTTATGCCTCTGTATAAATTCACCAATGTCTACAGTATATTAGCATGCAACAATTTCTTGTCTTTATCTTCTAGAGGAGACCAGATAATCCTTAGTTTGACAAATCAGATTTTAACACATTGATTTTACTCATTCTGTATGTGTTTTACAGCAAAATATTTTTTCATTCAACTTTTAAAAAATGGTTCAAATTTAGCAAAAGCTAATCAGGATAATCTCCAGAATTGCCTTTCAACCACAGTATTTCACACAAACTGCTAATCTTAACACCTGTTTTCTCTAATATATTTAACATCTTGTTACTTAAAACCTTAGTATATCATAACATAAATAAGTGAAATGTATAAACTCTAAAAAGGACCACCTAATCTCCTGATTATCTATAGCAGGAACCTAGATCCCAGTTCGCTCTGGAAAACAAACAAAACAAAAAAACAACAAAAAAGATTAAAGAAATTATTTATTTTACCAGTGCAAGTTTTTCTATATATAATTTGTTCTGAGACAAATTACTAATTCCATCAACAATTTTGGTAAATTTTGCATTAAATTTCTCAAGTACTCTAAACTGTTTGTTAGAAATACTCAGAACTGTAAGTTGTAGTTATAGTGAGGAAATTGGGTAACCGTTCAACTAATCATCATGATGTACACTGCAACATAAACATTTAACACTGAACTCAAAATTGATGGTCTTTAAGATCAAATGATTAATATAATATTTTCATGCATACTAGGATTTTTTAGATATTCCACTAGTTCATCAAAATAACTATTAAAAATTCACCAATGACTGACACATAATGACTGACACAAAGCTTGCTTACTCTGATTTATTTAACGCTAGACTGGTCCAATAAGCTTCAATTGGTGCACTCACGACTGCATCAAACAGAACTTCCTGGATCAATTCTTTATCACCTATTACAATATATTAAAATCAGAAAACATATAGGCATAGAAACAAATTTTTTAGATGACTAAACACATTTTTTTATACTGTACTATACTTTATCTGTGATATGCATTCAAACTCCTTGCACTACTCAATATTTACTATGTAATATTACATAGTATTTTACCACAACGCCATTTTCATGTATCATTTCATTGCACCAACAACAATTTTAGACTAAAACCAAAAAAATTATTCTCCTTTTCATGTAACACATGTACATATTATCTAATGCTCGCATTTGCACATGACATAAGGTCTACTATGACATAATTAGGTCTACTAAGAGTCACAAAAGCTCTACATTTCTGCAAATAGACAAAATATGCACTTATCCATCTGAATTTTTTTATTCTGCTTTGCAGTTCAGAAATGCTAATTGCATACACACTCTCCCTAAAATACTCATGAAATATCTGGCATATTCTTTAGAGGCGTGATCCAAGGACGGATTCAGACCAATCCTGTTTAACTTATAAAACCAGATGGAGTGATAATATTGCATAGTATAGCTACACCATCTGAACAGAAACTTGAATGTTTGGTTCAGGCATATTGTTTACTGTAGAAGTAAAAAATTTGTATCATCAATATCTTTATTGATACCCTGGAAAAAGCTCAAAACCAAATGAAATTCCAAAGTGACATCAGCCAAGCAATCCAATCTCAATGTACCACTGGTTAAACTAAGTAGCTTTGCATTTTGTAGAAGGTTCAGTACAATGGTTTTTAGCTGGGGTAAAGCCTGCTACATGCATATTTAACAAAATACTTGCATTGGAGCAATGGTTCTTTTCCTGTGAGGTAGCGTTTAATTGCTTCTAACTGAGTCATTTGACGGTGTTCAGGATGTAAGTCGGTGTTGCAATAGGACCTGTGAACATGTTGTCAAAACATTAAAATGTTAATCTGTACAAGCACGATCTCTCTTTGTCTTTAAACATAAAGAATTGGGCTTAGCAAGCACAAACAACATGAAACCAAGAAGGGTAACAGACACCAATTTCATGCTTTGTTTAAGGCTTACCATTCATCTGCTAAAGATACATCAGGGTGTTCTAAATCATGTAAACCTGTAACAGAAATAATAATGGGTTATTTAGGGAGCAGCCTGGGTAACAGATGGTTATTTACATATACTCCATAACATAAACCTTCCTTCTTGGAAAGTGCATTATTACCACAGTGTAATAAATCACAGTAAACTATGTTCAAATACACTTTAGGGTCTAACAAACTGGCAAAAGCAAACTAAATCAGATCTAAAACTGAAAAGCTAGGAAAAACTTTTTTTTGCTGATATATTTAATTCATATAACTCACTCACATGATATATTTGAAGTTTAGAAGAAAACTTGAGCAAAGGGAAATACATAATGGTAAAAGACTCCTATTCGTACTCCCTTGTTCTATTTGACTAGTAAAGTTCTTTATGCTAAAATACATGCTTGTCATTTCATGAGATTTGTTCTCTTTCTCTTAAAAAAAAAAAAAAAATCTTTAAAAAGAACAATTCCTTCAAAACCTAAGACACAGCCCAAGAACACAAACAGCAATTTATGGGATCATTCAGAATAAGTTTATTGTACTAATAGGTCATGCAAGTCCTTGTAAACAAGAACTGTATCATTAGTTATATAGAACAATAGAAATGTACTTTGGCAATTTTAAAAACTCTTAAAACACTTATCAATAGACAATAAGCAAACAGGGTTCAGAAGGCAGGGTCTGGGTTTAAACCCCTGAGTACATAACAAACAATGACAGAGCGATTAAGGAAAGCAGGGAAGTGAAGACTAGAACTGTAATTACAGTCCTTGGGGAGAACAGTGAGGTGTCAGTGATAGAGAATCAGTGGCGGTAAGAGTGGGAGAAAAGGAACGGTTCATTAGGGCTATGTTAACATTTCTGGTGTCATATCCAGGAGGAAATATCAGGCAGACTGGCTGAGAAGTATGGCTGGATTAAAGAAAATACGCGAGAAGTATGTTGGGAATGGTTTGGAGGGAAAGCAGCCCCAAGTCTCCTGCTGTGTTCTCTTTCTATCTAGACATGTATTTGCTGTGCAAGTGACTCAAACTTTAAAGCATTTCTTTTTACATCTCTTCTTGGTACAGGAACATGTTCATGTCTCAAAATACAGCTGAGGAACAAGATCTGAAGGAATTAACTATCTTGTTTAACACCACCGACAAAACAAGAAGCAGAATTGGAAATGGAGATTTAAGCATCAAATCAGAAAGCATCCCGCTACTGAAATATTTTTTTTTCTCAGCAACTGCTAAAACTTCTCAACCCTCTCTTCACTCTTCTGAAATGCCTCTGCTCTTCCTTCATCTTCACGAACCTTTGTTATTGATCTTGTTGCCAAACAGCTTTATCACCACTCACAGTTGACGCCTCCACTCATTTTAATTGTGGACTTATCAATAAGTAAAATCATAAAGAACGAACAGTTCTTCCCCTGGTTACTTCTACTGTTATTATAAAAATGCAAAATGTAAATCCCTGCAGACAATGCCCAAAGTAGTTAAAACTCTGAAAGATTTCATAGTATATAGTCTGCGAACTAAAAAGTCATAGCCATTACAGTGCTCTCAGTGGTTACTTCATTCCAAAAATACCACAAATAAAACACCACCATTGGACCATGAGTGATTCTCTGGAACATTTAGAGAGGAGGGCAGAAGATCATCCGCATCTAAAGAGGATTCACAAACAGTCTGACTATGCTTAATATAAATGAGGGGGAAAATCCCATGAAGTACAAGATCTTTAAAGAAAAAAAAAGAAAAGAAAAAAAAAGAAAAAAATCTAATTCCCTTATGGAATCTGCAGACATACATAGAAGCTTTAGGTCTACCAAATCAACAATAAAACTACTGTGTAAGCAACATGAGAAGGTAGGTATCTTACCTTCTTCTACAGTTACATTCCCTCTGAAGAAGTATTTTCCATGTCCTCGAGAGAGAGCCACACCTAAACTGTGCAGAGAAATAAAGCAGACCTTGAAGTCTGTGCGACAACAATAATATTTAGAGATATTTTAATTTCTAACATTTCCAGCTAGTCTACTATGATTAACGTTAAAATTGTTTGTTTCCAAACCCTCACTGATCGTATTTATTGTCCAACTAGTTGCTTCAATGCTGTTTCAATTCTGATGTGCCTGCAACAATCAGCTGTATTTATGTGTGCTTAGAGGTGCAGTAAACCATTATTCTCTGGCAAACTAATAAACAAGCCCCTCTAAGCTCACTGCTGTTCACCCAGCATGAGATTTCTTCAGCTGAGCGTTCAACATGCCCATGGCCTTACAATGAAGGAGACAATTTTTTGTAAATCAGACTAAGCTGCTGAGAAACTACACAAGTATAGAAATCAATGGAGCTACTGAGAGGAAAAGAATTTCATACGTGACAACAGCACCATGACTCCTCTTGTACTAATTTTTCTGTGATTTGTATTTTTAGATAGTTCAACTTTTCTCCATTGACTTCAGCTTCATGAACTCTCAATAGTTACGCAGCCAGTTTCGGTTCGGTTTTCAGTCTACCATTTAAACTATTCAAGTTTAAGTGAACTTGCCAGGCGATCCAGGCCTCTTCCTATTGAACATTCCTTCATTCAAGGGGATTCTCACAGGGTAGGAACCTGCCAGTAAGACTGAAAATGCTTGGGCTGATACTTTAAGTACACATAGAGGCACAACTCCAAGAGCACATGTGCTGCAATCAACAGCTCGATCTGGAAATGAGCTGAACAGTAAACGTCTTTGACACTACAGTGTATATTTTAATAAACGTTGCCCCTGCTGTCTTCCTGAATCTGTACTCCTACTCATCAAAACTAGATACGGACCGTGCTGAAAAAGGCAGGACGGTTTTCCAACTATATTTCTGTTCTAAGAATGAGAACTCACACTGCATGCATATATGTAGCCCCATATCTGTTTACTACATATGGTAGGAATGACAGTGCCACAGGAAAAAAAAAAAAAACAAAAACCAAAAACAAACCAACAAACCCCCCCCAGCAAACTCCAAAAAAAATCCACTGCATTTTACCACCCATGTGTGAATTTTAACAAGAATAAACACATGCATTAGAGATCAGAGAAATGTGCCCATATTTTCTCTATATAGAAATGTAGTTCAAGTTCTGTGAAATGGTTCCATTGAAGAAAATTTCAGTTGAGTATTGCAACTATCAGCCTCCTGCTTTAAGCATAAGGTACAGTTAGTATTCTTTTATTAATGGGTTATTTCTAATTCAAATATGAGCATTTTTAAAGTTACTTCCTGTCTTTCTTTTCTTTTTTTTTTCCCTCCTAATACGGATGCCAAAATAACATGGATGACTTACTCAGTTTTAGTTATACAAATACACTGAAGGTAGTTCAGAGAAACAAAATATCCAAACCTCAAACTGGAAGTGAAATACAATCTCATTTTACATTACATTTTTGTTGTGGAAAAAAATCAAAATGGGGCTCAATATGTAGTTACTTAAATGGATTATAGTATTTATAGCTCTCCAAGTACTTGCGAAAGCTTTTCGTTCAACGTAAACCTCAACTGAATATTTTTTTAATGAAACGTAAGCCATTACAAACACAGTGAGTTTGCCTGTGTGAGCTTGCACAAACTTTCCATCCCTGGAAAAGCTGAAAGGAATGCTGGTAGGCTCCTTTTCCTTGCTATTTTCAGCATTGTCCAGGGATATTTCATTGTCAACTTCTGCTGATGAGCTTTTAATGAGTTCACAAGCTTTGCACAAATGCAAATCCAGTGAGTCTGATGAAATGCCCATTTATTATGGTCGGCTCTACCTGAAAGGAGTACCCTTGATGTCTGTATAATAGTAGTCATTTGTCATCACCAATACGCGCTTCTAGATTCAGAACAAGAAAGTCAGAAGGGGAGGGGAGGAAGAAGTTAGTTTGCTATAAGAAATACATAAATGATCAAGTGGTTAGTCACTGATAAAATTACAAGCAATGTTTACATTCAGTGAGTGAAAAAAAATATACTGCAGTGAATCATATTTATAGCAATCTTGAAAATTGTTAAATAAATTAACTGCTTGCTTATACTTAGTTGGAATAATATTTTATACATTGTACCCCTTTGTCCACTGTCTTCTTCACTTCCATGGAGAATTTCCCTGTTTTCCGATTCACCATTGCATTTCGGAGCTGAAATGAAGGAAATGTGTGTCAATTCCTTTACTTGCTTTTTTTTTTGATGATTCTTTCAGCTCTGAGCTCTCTGCTACACGTTTGGCCTAAGCAGTTCTTAATTTTCTTCATTTCCAGTAGTTCTACAACAACACACTGAACAACCCCCCTACAGATTTTATTATTGACTGTATAGGCTAAGATTCCTGCCGCACAACTTTAGGCAAGTTGCTGGGGTACATAAGATAGGAGCTCTGAGCATCCTTCATAGTAAAATAGCTCTTTGTGTAGTAATCTGGATTTTATGTGGGATAAACAGTGTAATTGGCTACTATTCTGCAGTTACTGCATAGGAAGAGAAGGACCAGGTTCCCAGATGGATTTAGCTGAATTTAGACGAGGGCTCTGTTTAAATACATCAACAATTATAGATACAATAACAAAGCAAAAAAGAGAAAAACACACTTACCCTACACTATTCATTCTGCTTCTGCTTGATACTCTACATCATGCTGCATCCTAAACTAGCACCAGAAACTGCATCAGAAATTAGAACTAGCAAAAGAATGACAGCCCATTTGATCAGCAACCTGTTTCAATGGGAACACACAGCTGCAGTGCTCTGTGATTCCCTCTAGTTGCCCATTGGTGTCCAGGTGCCCCTTGGAAGGTAATAAATTTTATCTCTGGAATGGAAGCCTTAGGTCAGTCATAGCTTTAAGAACTGACCTGGACTTCTCCCTCTCAAAGTCATCCAACAGACTTTTTAAATCCCCTTCAAAAACTGGTTTCATTACTATATAAATCCAAAACTCAAAGCAGATAGAGAAAGCAGAAAATAAATGAAAAAGGGTTTATACCTGCTGCTCTGTAAGTTAAATCCATTACTATTTAGATTACCACAAAGAACTGTTTTTCAATAACTTTAGCCTCTACGTGAGCTGCAGGCTCCCAAATCTATGGTTCAAAGTTCCTTACCCATCACATTTAAAAAGTCTTCCCTTAGCACATCTAGGCAAGAAGAGCCTTCCTCCCAGAGGACACCAGCTGACACAGCCTCTCTCTTAGGTGAACACGCCATGATGATAAAGAAGAGTGAAAAAAACTAACTGTCCCCCAGGTCTGTAAGCGAAGATGACCTGCAGTGTCCCTAACTGAGTACACCGCTGGTCAGAGAGCAGGGTCTTTGGGCTGAGACTGAAGAAATACAAGATACAGTTTTTGAGAAATCCTCAGTCTTAATGTTTTGAATTTGCCTATTTATCAGTTCAGGATTTTAGGAAAGAAATAAGAAAGTTATTGTTTAGCAGTTATACCATTCATGCATGGAAGTATTTTCTTTCAATGCTCTTAGATTTACGAATGGAAAAAGTGATTTCTTTTGCTTATGCAGAAAGTTTAAGGTGGTTGTTTCAGGATATTTTCTATTACAAAGCAAAATTGCTATACTTGTGGGGTTTTTGTGGTAAGAAACACCTATAAATCTTTCACAGCTCTAATTTTCATTACAATAAGAAAATTCCACTATCACTAATCAATTCACACTCCTCCTTCAGAATTATTCAAAATGCAGAATAATATTGACAAAATGAGCATTTTTGTGTCTCTTCTATTGCTTATCTACCTGAACACAATTTTGGACATCATGTTCTTGCTGAATAAACATCTCCTGTTCTCCAGTACTTCATGCCAGATTGGGCAATTCAGTCAGATTTCAATGAAAATTTGTGAAGATAGTCACACCAATGCATTGTGCAAGTTTTTTGAGTTAGTGTGGGGTGAAAAGAGAATGACCAAACTTGCCAGTGGAATATCTGGTTTTATTCTCATGAACAAGTTGAGCATGGCTGACCTATCAAAAACTGCAAACTTTGCAGCTCTTTAAATTTAATTCTGGGGCATCTAGATTTGAATTAACAGTCTTACTCTTCTGTCAGTGAGTGTAAAAGAATAATTTTTAGCTGGAGGCGTGTATAAAATAAAGCATATATTTTACTGTAGATTTTTTTTTTAACAATACATAATAGGCAATTCTGGAAATATTTTCCCATTTTAAGTTTTGTGGTTTTGGACTTGGAAAGCTGGTCTTAATTAACCATCTACTTTCTAACATTTACAGAACAATTCCATTTATCTTTAACATGGTTTTCATTTTTCTCCTATTGGTGCCTGCAGTTGTCTAAGACCCATTCCTCCCACAAGCCTCAGGCAAGGCATAGATTTACTAAAAGGGCCTCCAAACTCTCAGTAGTGTTTAAGATCAAGTCTGCATGTGGGATTTAGAGTTTTACTTTTCTTCTTTTTTTTTTTTTTTTTTTGCTTGCTGTGATTACATTTCTTGGCTTTGTAATCTGGTTTCTCAGCTCTTCTGCAGTTTCATCTCCCTCCTCAAATGCATAAAATAAGTACTGCCTCAGTTGGCTTCAAGCCCCAAAACATTCATTCATGGTCTTTTTTATTTGGAAAAGAATATTTCATTCAGCTAGAAATTATAATAAAAGAATTTTAAGAAGTGAGTTAATGAGAAAAATGTTTCTGTCCAAATTGAAACTTCTCGTCTTTGGTACTGCATATTCCCAAACTTTGCTGGAACACACTTAGTTTAATAAGCTGATGCTAAGATTTCTATTTCTAATAAAAAGCAGTAACAGCAAGACAGAAGGTACTGTTAACCTGGAAAACAAACTGATGAATATATATTTACACCAACTCTATTTCATGGGGAAAAAAAATCTAACCTTACTTCTGCCACCTTTTCCTTATTGGATGACTAGAGAAAAACCTATTTCTTCACCTCTTCAGAGTAATATCATTACTACTCCTTCAACTAAATATCTTCCAATCAGTTGCTAACAACCCAGTTTCACTGCTATAGTATGAGATCATTCTATATTCTTGGAAAACTATGTAACCATTAAATTAATGCGGTAAAATGTAAGAAAATTTCTTAATCAGCTTCCCCATAAGTGTTTCATGGGAGAAAAAATATACCAGCAGTAGTCTATTTTATTAAAAGCAGCTATATGAATACATTAATTCTTTCCCACTACAGTTGAATAAACAATGCTTTACTACCCAAGCTTGCAAAAAATCAAGAACATCAAATGCAAGGTCTTGGGTGAAGCAGAGCCACATGTAGCTCTCAAGTTAATAATTTACTTCACAAAGTTTTAAGTCTCCTACACAATATTTATCATTTTGACTCAAAACTAACAATATTGAGGAACTGCCTATTACAAGAGATCAACAAAAATAACACACACTTTTTGGAGACTTATTTGGATCCTCACATCAGAAAGGTTGCATAAAGAGATGGATTTCATTACAATAGTCATAGAATCGTTTAGGTTGGAAAAGACCCTTAAGATCATCGAGTCCAACCATTAAACTAGCAGTGCCAAGTCCACCACTAAACCACATCCCTAAGTGCCACATCTATGCGTCTTTTAAATACCTACAGGGATGGTGACTCAACCACTTCCCTGGCAGCCTGTTCCAATGCTTGATAATCCTCCTTTTGGTGAAGAATTTTTTTCTAATTTCCAATCAAAACTTGCCCTGGCACAACTTGAGGCCTTTTCCTCTTCTCCTATCACTTGTTACTTGGGAGAAGAGACCGATCCCCACCTGGGGACCCCAACCTCCTTTCATGTAGTTGTAGAGTGATAAGGTCTCCCCTAAGACTCTTTTTCTCCAGACTAAACAACCCCAGTTCCCTCAGCCACTCCTCATAAGACTTGTTCTCTAGACCCTTCACTAGCTTCATTGCCCTTCTTTGGACCTCAGTATCTTTTGTGTAGTGAGGGGCCCAAAACTGAACACAGTATTCAAGGTTAGGCCTCCTCAGTGCCAAGTACAGGGGACAATCACTTCCCTAGACCTGCTGGCCACACTATCTAATCTCATCTATAGAACTTCCTTCAAATTCCATTCTCATTCTAGCTCTAATGCTAACAATGACTCTGCCTGTAGCTCCTTACTTCATTTCATATCTCCTTCTCTTTTATTCTTCTATTAGTATTTCTGACCATCAGCCCCTCTGAAGGTCTTAGTAATATGATATAAATGACTTACATCTTATTTCACACAAACACAAAAAACTTGAATGATATACCAGGCTTACTTTTAAAAATAGCTGTAAAAATACTATTTGTTTGACGTTGCACTTTTTCCTGTTTAGATATTTGCATGAAGGTCTCCACTTGGGTGTGGCATTGCTGAAGTATTAAGACAACGCTTGGAACATTAATACATTTTTCTACAATATTTAGCCTGCTGTTTTTCAGATAACACTTGGTCACTAATCATTAAACAGTAGATGTGTAGGCTGTTTTACAAAACCTACCTATTGAGGGATAATTTATCAAAGAATGCCTGATTATCCAGGCAGGCACTAGAGAATTATTAGCATTGATAGATGGGGATCATTCAAGGAAGTCACCACAACACACCTGTACTATACATGAGTACTGAAAATTGTGTTTACTGCTGCTCCAAACCTACAATAGAATATTCAAGGTTTTTTTTTCTATTATGTATTAAATACTTATCAAAAATAATTTCACTTCTGATTTATCTATTTTTTTACTCTTACATATTGGGCAATGGACCTGGATCTTTTCTACAAACGCAATGCTCAATTTAGTCTATTTGTAATGTAGATTAACTTCTTTTCTCCTGCAAAAGATGAAACAATAGGAAAGGCAATTTAAAACTACCTTTTAATAAACTTTTTTTTAGGTAAAAGGGA